ATATATAGATAGATAGATATAATACACACACACTAAGTAGAGAAGTAAAACATTACTATGAATGAAAATCAATAAGTGAAACCCCTGCACTCCAAAGGCAAAGGTAGATTACTGCAAATCTTCAGCACCTCGCAAATTCCTTGCAGCTGCTCAGCGTCTCCAGTAAAAAACAAACCTTTAGGACACACTGTTTCCAAAGTCTCAGTAGGACTGGTGAAGAGAAACTATGAGCAGGGAGGTTTCTACTCTGACCCTCCCCCACGGTCATGGGCGCTGCAGCTGCCCCTGTAGCATCTGTCCTGGGACTGCAGCGTTCACCTGAGGACCCTCGGACTGAGGACAGAGGGGTCCCCCCCCCCCCCCCAGAACAGAGGGCTTTGTAGAATCTCTCCAGGCGCTACTGCCAGCTCCGGGACCCGCGGTCAGAGCTGTCAGGCTGAGCACCCCACCAGCACCTCCTCCGGGAACTCGGGGAGTCAGGACCTTGGTATGAGGGGCACAGACTCAGCACAGCAGAGGATGGTGGCCCAGGTTCCACTGGGTGGAGATAGGGATCAGAGCACAGCAAGAACACAAAGGAACTGAGCTCTGCCCCTACTGACAGCCCTGGGAGACCCCAAAAATGCTGCCCGGATGTGAGATCCACTAACTTCCTCTAAGGAAGTATGAGAGAGGTGAGGACGGCGTCTGGGAGGCTGGCTTCAGGTTGAAAGACGGAAGGAGCCCAGTCCAGCAGAGATACAAGGTACGACCCTGAGGGAGGACTGAGGACCCCCACAGAATCAAGCTTGCCCTACTGTCAGCACAGAGAGTCCCCGGGGCTGGGTTGTGGGGCGAAAACTACCCCACCCCCACCCAACACCCACTCTCCATAGAGACTCCGGGAGTCAAGGACAAAGTCTGAGGGTAGCAACCGCAGGTCAGCAGGGGGAGGGCCCAGGCCGTGCCCGAGACAAGGAGAGGACCCTAAGTGAGATTGAGGGACCCTGGACGCCAGAACAGCGGCACCTCTAGCAGGGCTTACGCGGACGTGGGGGGCGGGGCGGGTAGGAAGGGGTGTGAGCACACGTGGCGGTTCCTGAGATCTGCATCGGGGACTTTGGGACTGGGGGTGGTTGGAATAAGGAGCAAGGGCTCCGGCGGCCGAGCGGGCGAT